GTCATAGTGATACTTACCTGAGTATCCTTCCATTTTGACTGTACATACTGGGCCCCTCCCCTTCCCCCCCACCTAAAATATCCTTTGCTGGTCTTGCCTTGGAATATCCTCTACTCATTTTTTAAAACTACGCTAAATGACAACTTTTTTTGGAAAAATATTTATTTCTTTATAGGTAGAATAAGCCCCTTATAATTATTTACGTTTGACTTTGTGCTGGCCTCTAGGTCATGAGCCCTGTGAAGACAGCAGCAGTGACTTGTTCGTTGCGGGCATGTCATAGGTGCTCAATAGTTGTGTGCCCACACTTTAAATAATTTGTGGAATGACTCACAGCATTTAAAAGTGAAGAAAAAATAAGTTAGTGAAATTAGAGAACTACTATTTTATGTTTTACACATACACTATCACCTTGATTTTACAAGATTATAAACTGTGGGGTTTTTTTTAATCTTTTTCTTTTTGTATCTCTTTTGATGTAAAGTTGAGCACATTTTAGATGCTTCACTGAAATAAAACAAACAGATTTTAAAAATCAAAACACTCTTACTTTGCCTTTCAGAGTGTGTTAGGGATACAGAACAGCATGAGTCAGAGCAGGACATTAGCCTAATTCTAGCACCACTCCATCACCCATGTGAGACAATGAGCTGTTGGAAAGCAGGAGAGTGTTGATCTCTGCATATATTAGAACAAATAAAACCTTTTACACCTACACGTTTCAAGCTCTCACCAAGTTATAAAAAGTAATAGAATACAAGATAAAGGCAAATAGAGTAAAATAAAGTAACATGCAAAAAAAGAAAACTATTGGACTTTCATTTGTGTTATTGACATACCTATAATTTGAAAACTGGGAAACAGTCTTAAAAGTTATTAAATCCATTTTTTACTTAATTTATTTTTCATATTTAAAATGTGAAATCTAAGACATAGCAGAAATTTTATACGCAGTAACTGAGTGGGCTGTATCTCATACTAAAAACTCCTGAAATCAGTATCAAGTTTCAAATAGTAATTAGTATGCTTATTGCCCATACGAATATGGGCTTTGTGTTTGCAGTGTACCAGAGTTTTTGTGTGTGTAAATATTGTTTATTTTTAATTTGTTTTTATTGAGTTTCAGAGAGAGAGGAAGGGAGAGGGAAAGGGGAGAGAGAGAAAAACATTGATGAGAGAGAAACACCGAGTAGCTGCCTCCCGCACGCCCCCACTGGGGATGGAGCCTGCAGCCCCAATCGGTGCCTGGGTAGACGCTCAACCACTGAGCCACACTGGTAAGTCGTAAATATTGGTTATTAATGGAACACCTGAATGAATTAAAATACACACACAATACTAAGTGCGTCAGTACAATGTAAACGCTAAAAGGAGGCAGCACTGATTGTTCTCAGGGCTGATAAAATAAGCTCACAAAATTTTGACAGCACCCCATGAGGTAGGTACTTTTATTCCCGCAAGTTTTTATTTGAATAAATAAGGTCTGAGTGGGGTGCAGCAAGAAATTATACGAGGGTAGCCTGTTCCCAGAAACCATATTCTTACCACAATGCACGCAAACAAACAGAGAAACAGGCAAAAAGCATCTTTGGGAGCATTGGTTATGCATTGCTCTACTGAACAGGACTGTTTGCTCACCCAGCCATAGTCTCTATGCACTTAAATTAAGAAAAGTTGCTGGAACTTAACTGCACCATGCCTATCGATCACAGCAGATTTTATCGCGCTCTACCCACATTATAAATTTCATCCAGCTCAATATCTCATCAGAATGACTGCAGTACCAATACGTACACTCTGTTTTAGTAACAATGCATGTTTCACATTGATTCAGATCCTACGGTTCAGCTCTGAGAGTTTTACAGTGCGCGGTGGCAAAATGGTAGAGTCACTTCTGAATGAAAACTGACCACGGCTGTCTTTATACTTTGCTCAGTTCCTAGCACTATAATAAAAATTGCAGGACAAATGACCAATCCTCTGCTTTGAGTAGGTTTTCCATTTGAAAATCACATTTGATGTCAGTTTATATTTATCACAAATCTTATCAAAATTAATTCTGGAATATTGTTAGGTGAAAGTAGCTAAATCCCAGGCCCTGTGTCTTGTAAAACTTTTTTGGCAAAATATTCATGGCTTACTATCCCTTGAATTTAGCTAATTCATACTCTTAATTATTGCATTATAATTTTAGTCCTTCATTTTGCACATTTCAAATGCACATTAGTAAAAGGGACATAATTTTCATATTTTTCTATATCAAGGATATAATTTTATTATTATGTAATATTATAAGAATAAATTTGTGCTAAATCAACTATGTGCAGGCAACTTTGAATTGTTTTGTAATTTATATATAGGTCACTAAATAGATTCCTTAGTAGCTAATTAAAGGATACTATCTAAAATGGTTTATCTTCAACTGATAGGTTCTATGTATAAATTGATTTTCTATGAGGAGGTTAGATTTCAGATTTTGTTTTTTTTTTTTTTAAATCACTGGATATCTATAAATAAATTCAATAGATAGTAAATATCATTTTTAGTTCAACTTTTCTAGGACTACTATTAATATATGCCAAACTACTGAAAAAAAAATTGTTAAACTTCAGATTATTTCTTTTTTGCTTCTTTCAAATGCAAACTGCCAGCATTTGGAGGATATTGTTAACCTTTTTTAAAAAAATATATAAAATTTATTTATTTCTCAGTCTCCTGTTTATATTACGTAAATTCTATCTAAAGTGAAGCAACTGTAAAAATGCATTATGACCATCAATGACTTTATTATAAAGTAGGGTATAGATAGATTGCTAGAATGTACACTATGGATATAAGATTGCTTTGTCCAAAACTGGATTTTGGCTCTTTTTGGAATCCATTGTAATTTAAGCATTTTATTTTTATAAATTTGCAGTGATCATATTCAGAACCAAATATGAGTTATAAATTAACTCATAGACTTTTTTCACAACACCTGTATGCAAAGTACTTGCAAATCTATTTTAGGTTAGGACATACATGAAACTTGATACATGGAAACAAAAGAAATACAAAGAAATCCATCTCTCAACCCGTTTCCTATTTCCTAGCAAGTTTTTTTGTTTTATTCAGCTACACCTTGAAATACTTAGATATTTTTTGTAATGTAAAGATAAGAGCTTGCCAGAGAGAAAAAGAGCAAAGATCTTTCATATTATTCAGTTATAAATAAATTCAAGCACATAGATGAGTGCTTGGCACAGAGTAGACAATAAAAAAAAATTAATAACTAGTTAGATAGCCACATATATGGACAAAGATGGGGGAGGAAGAGAAGAGAGAGTGATTGATTGATTCATTGGGGGTGTTGAAATTTGAAAGCCTGTTTCTGAATTCTGACTTCATTTGCTGATTTGCAGATTAGGTGATCTTTGGCAACAAGTTAAGAACTATGAGTCTTTGTTTCCTTAGCAGTATAATATCAATTACCTTATGGCAGACCAATTGTTAAATATAACGGATATAATGTTTGTAAAACGCCTTTTAAATTTTAAAGTAAATATAAACGTTTATGCTTATGCACATAAAATATACACCTACATAAATATTCATGCATCAACATGAAATTGCTAAGATGACATCATGGCTACTATATTATTGACTTAACTCAAAAGTTGGCCATGGAATTCCAGAATTTCACACTGTTAAGACAAGCATAGAATTAACGGCACATCCAAATACTTCAATTGAGAAAGGAGAAACCTAAATGGCATCCATGAATTCAATAATTAAAAGAAGCTAATGAAGGTGCTTACCTAGACAAAGTTCTAGGAGACGATTAAAGTGTACAAGAGAAAAAAATGTTATTTTGCAATAAGTGATGATATAACTTGAGGAACAATTTTTAAAATAAAATAATATATTACCCTTGGCCTCTGGGAAATTAAGAGAACGTCAGAGGGTTAATATGCAGGGTATTCCCAAAAATGTATACACACTTTAACAGCTGATAGATCAATTTTGAAAATGAAATGTATATTAATAAATATTGCCTATGTAATTATTCAAAGTGTGTGTGTACATTTTTTGGGGGAACACCATATATATGTTTTTATCACTGTGCACGTTTTCCATCTCTTCTTAAGACCTGTAAAACCTGTCAGTCAGTAACATTTAACTTGGTACCACATACAAAGAACTGGATAATACAGAGAAGAAAAATGCAAAAGAAGAAAATGATCACATAACTTAGACAAAAGACTCTATATTAGAAAGGAGACAAAAAACACATAAATACATGTAGCATGAGACATCTGTTATCTACGGCTTCCTGCTCTACAAATTATTTTTAGGGAGTGTGCAGGATGAGAAATTGCTAGGATCCCATTGATGTCCTCTTTTTAAAAATATGAAATAAAAAACAAAAACTTTGTGTCAATGAAGTCCACCATCCATGCATATCCTGTGGTACAAAGTTTGTCGAAGGAAAACAAGAAGATAAGCAATTCTAACATTGCAAAAATCACTACCAAAGAGAGCATTTTTATGATTAGAGGCGCTAATACTGAGAGAAGCATTCACACACTGCAGAAAATGCAACTTTAACTGTCTAGACTGTTCATTGCCTGAGGAAGATTTTCTTCATTCTTGACAGGATGATATAAATAGATTTTTACAGAATTAATTGTTGGAAAACATAGGCTTTCCCTTGGTCAAGATTGATCACCTGTGAAAATGACAGAGTCAATACCTTTGGATTATTCAACTCCACTTTAAAGTACTTAAGGAAAATAAAAATTAATTTCAAAGCAGTGAATCATTATTCTTTCAAGTTCACATTATCAAACTTTTGGATTCTCATTTTTAGATTTTGAAATTCACAGAATAACCAAGATAAATCTCCCTGCAGAAAATTAGCTCTAGATACACACTTGTAAGCTTTTGAAAGATTTAGTGGATTGTATATTTTCTTGCCTGAGACAACAAAGCTCAAATCTTTAGATTCCATTAATACATACCTGACACTTTCTATAAACTCAGTTTTGTTCAGAGCTGACTTGACTGAGGAGACAAATCGAACAACAGTAATGTCAAGAGCTGCCAAACAGGACTGGGCTAGTAGAGGAGAGAGAAGTGTGACATAGCTGAGAAATGCCTGCTGTCTTTAAGTACAACTTCAGCACCTCCAAAACCCAATTTCTAATTATCCAAATTACTGGTTTGCACAAGCAGAAATATTCAGTGTTAAAGCAGAGTAAAAGTAAATCTGAAAAGCATGAGCATACTGAAGCCCGATAGACAAGTCATTATTCAAAAGTTTTATTAACGCTAGAAGAGACAGAGATGCTAGTAAGAGTACATGTTATATTAAATGAAAGCTATTTACAATTTTCTGTGTCTTCGTGTCATAAATAATTGCATTCAACTTTAAAATAACAGTCTGCTACTTTGTTGTGATAATAAACAATATTCGAGGAGTTAAAAGTGTTTTTGAATTCATTTGGTAGCACATAAATATCCTGTCAATTAAAAGCTTTCATTGTATCTGATTTTTCAGGATCTCTCCCAGATTCAGTCGCCTATAGTCATAAGCAATTCAACAGCTGTAAATATATTTGTTTTGTGACAATACTGTCAGGATCCTCAGGTGTAAGTATTGTCTGTTATAAATGATTAAATAATTGAAAGCTTTCTTTTCAGGGTTTAAATATTCTACAGATACATAAAACACAGTATTCTGTTAAGCACTGAAAAGCACTCAATGCAATAAATTATTTTAACACCTCTTAATTCCAGAAAAAAAACAAAAACCCACACTCTCCCTTAAAACAATTTGCTAATATCATTTAAAAATGATAAATATAAATACAAAGTGCCACAACTTTATTTCAAAAGATAAAGCCTTTGCTCACTTGGTAAATTTTGTCCTCCTGTATAGATACAACTTTGGGAAACTGTCCCAAAGAACTATCATTTAACAATTACAAACTTTGACTCATTTTAAATTTATAGCAATGCTACTTGGCTGACCATTTCTACGTCTACTCTATGCTACTAATAGCAAAACAAAAAGAAGTGAAGCAGAGTAGTATACGTACCCATATACATTTTTTAAAAACACCTTCAAAATAACAATCCTATAATAGCACTTACTTTCCTTTTTCTAAAGAAAAGCTGATTTCCTGCTATTCATTCTCCACTGCAAATTAGTTTGCCAGGTACAGGTTAGCATGCTCTTTTTCAATTCCTCCTGCTAAATCCATACTTCCTTTTAACAAAGCTAAGCATTTCTCTGATTCAAAGCTTCCTGGGTAGTAATCTTCTTTGCCCCTGACAGCAGTTTCTTATCCTGTTTCCTCTGCTACATACATCTGCCTTTATTTGGAAAGAGAAGGTAAAACAGAAGAGGTTCTTACCAGAGCCAGGGAAAACAATTCATTCAGCTAGAGCCACCAGTGCTCGGTGCAGCCGGCCAGCAGGAGTGATCCTTGGGCCTCACACAAAAGCGAGATAATTGGCTCTCAGTGAGGAGATGTAAACATCCATCCTGATGGCACTGGGGCTGGGACTGACGCTCCCTCAGCTGCTCTGTGTACTCCGCTGGAGATGATGTCACAACATCAACCGGGTGTACTCTCATTGGCTTCTGTTACCTGGAATCACATCTTAACCCTAAACTGTCAGCTGCAAATTGAAATGCTCATCTCTGACTATATATATATTTTTTTTTGCTGAAAAGGGAGTGAAAGTGATGTTGAGCTACTGGAGGAAAGCAAACTGAAAAGACTGCTCCCAAATATGCTGAGACCATTTTACATAAGTAGTTAATGAGGATCTGTGGGGATTTTATTTCCCAAATATGCTTTTTAAATAACAGGATTTACAAAAGGTTTTCTACAGAATGAAGAGTAAAGGAAAAGATTGATGTAATTACAACCTCCAGAATATTAAATTTTCTAATTACTCTTCATTGATTTTACAGAGCTGTCCCATGAGATTAAGAAAGTCAAGTTAAGAAAATTATAATGTAGATAATTATAGAGTTTTCAATCACTTTGGTCAGAGTAGCCATCTGTATTTTTAAATATTTTAATACATTTTTTTAAATTGCATTTTACTCTCTGAGTGTTAAATAGTATGGCCACAATTTTGTATCATAAAACTTTAGTTTTGAGATATTAAAAGCATAAAAATCACTAAAATAATAATGTTAAATAGTGTTTTTTACAAATAATAATTTATAAGTCACTGGAACTATAGACAAATCCATTTCAGAAATTGAAGACTACTTTGTAATATAGTTCTGTTTTCTTTGAGCATAAATGGGGAATAATTATCCATCCCTTACCCTCTATCCTGACAAAAGCCCAAGACTTCTCCCCAGGATTAAATTCAATGGGAGAGGAGGAGAAGGGACCAAGCTGGTTGCAGCAGTTTCCTGCCAGAGGGACAAAACTACAATCACCTTGAAATATATCCAAGTTTTCCCCACCAAAAGGAGCTGTCAGCTACATAACTGTGAGGTGCAAAAATTAGCAGAGCTATTCAATGACCAGCTCCTTCTAAATCCAGCCCAGGCATATCCCAGGGCAAGCCCTTTCTAAGCTGTGGAGCTCAGCATGGAAACACTATAGCCACCTGGAGAGAGAAGGAGAGAAATTCACGTTATCCATCCCCTCCTTCATGGAAAGGAGATCAGCAGCAGTGCCCTGTGTGCCCATATGTTAGCTCATGTCTTTCTGAATAATGGATGCAGGGCAAATAGTTGTTATAATCCCTCCACATTTCCAATAACAGAAAAGTATTTTTATTGCATTCCTCAGTGAGAGTTCTAAAAGTTGAAAATATATGAAAAAGACACTTTTCATAGACTGTATGTTAGAAATTTTCCTTCCAAGGTCTGACTTTCATGAACATAGATTTGATTATTTGATTACTGGCAGTAGCAAGTTAGTGTGTGATCTAAGGGCAGGATTTCTAGATTCTAGTTCAAAACATCGAGCCTCTAACTCTCACTGTATCAACTACTATCTGTAAGAACTTTGGAAAATTAATAACTTTCATGTATAGAATGAGAATGCTACCTACAGGAAAAAAAAAAGTTGATATAGGGATTAAATGACATGAGGAAACATATAAAATATGCAAAATAAAAAGTATTATATAAATATAAGATGGTTAACATTTTTGCTATACAAAAGATCAAATGGGTTCATTTTTTTATGTGCCCCAGGCCTGAAACAGCTCTGGCCACCAACACAGGCATCAAGCTCAGGACTGGACATCAGCTTTGCCCCTGGCTGATCCATGAGCAACGCCACCAATCAGGTGTCTCCTGGCCCATTGCCAGGGTGTCAAAGGTGTTCATTTTAAAAGCATTTGGGTGATTTAAAAGGAAGAGTCAATCCAGTGTCTTCAAAGTAATTAAGAGAGAAATTATCCTAAATTTTTAAAATATCAACAAAAAATGTTGCAAATTAACTTGATTTATAAAACTGTCTGATTCAGTGGTCTTTTTTTTTGAAGTCGTTGCCCCTCTCAGTATTATTTGTAATTTAATCATATTAGTCAAGTGCAAGAATCTAGACTCAAAAAGACTATTTGTCAAAATGTACTTTGGGCAAATGAGAAAGACACTGTTCATTTATTTCTGTCTAAAAACATGGGAGTTTAGATGGAAATGTGTATAAAAAAGATTCATTGCCATGCAAAATGACATGAAATTGAATTACAGATCAGAAAAGATTAATTTGGACAATGAGAATGTCAATTGTATGTTGAGTAGACAAATGATAAAGCTAAGATATTGTAATTGTTAAAAAGATATGTCACAAGAAAAAAATTATTTATAAAATAAAATATGCTCCTCCATGTCATACGTTATATAAAATTTTAATCGTATAAATATTTAATGGTAGAGACTGAGAACTAGCAAAATTAGATTATATTTTGTAGAATGTATGCTGATAGATATACCATTCAGTTAATTTTTTTTTATCCGCACTTGAGGACATTTGTTCCATTGCTTTTCAGAGAGAGTGGGAGAGAGAGAGAAACGTCAATGTGAGAGAGACATCGCCTGGTTTCCTCCCGCGTGCGCCCCGACCCAGGGCGGGGGATCGAGCCTGCAACCCAGGTCTGTGCCCTTGGCCGGACTCGAACTCAGACCCTTCAGTCCATGGGCTGATGCCCTAACTACTGTGCCAAACCGGCTAGGGCAGTTAACATTTTTTATTGATTTTAGGGAGAGAGAGGAAGGGGGGGGGGCGGGAAGAGAGAGAGAGAGAGAGAGAGAGAATTTGTTGTGTCACTTATGAATTTTTGGTTGATTTTTGTATGTGCCCTGACTGGGAATAGAACCTGCAATCTTGGCGTATCAGGAGGACAGTCTAACCAACTGAACTACCCGGGCCAGGGTCCCATTCAGGTAATTTTTAAGATAAACATAGATTGTCACCTTTCTTACTTTGTTTTCTATTTGGTTGCTACCCTGCCACACAGACACAAGATATGATGAAGATGGAAAGTATGAATATTCTCAGTGCTCTGCCGGCAGAGTGCAGCAAATACCCACATCGTTCACGTGACTCATTAATAAGTTAACACCTTGGTAAAGGACCCTAGTTCTGTGTCAGGAAAACATGTAAATAAGATTTTTTAAGAATATAGATTTTAATGCTTAAGTATTACACAAGTCAAGACTAATCAAAGAATCAATAATATTTTAAGGGAGTTAACTTACAAAATATGAAAACAAATGTTTGAATTGTGTACAAAATAGACAAATTATTAGAATATGATTTAATTCTTGGAGAATGAATAGGAGAGAAGGGAAATATAGTAGAAAAAATTTAAAATAATGCTGGCTTATAATAATAAATGATTCCATACATTTAGTCAATTTTAAATTTTATTAAAATTTATTAGAGAGCTTTTATATATATGCATATGTAATTTGTATTTATAGAATTTATGTTTTAGTTTTAGATAATTACATCTATACACTCAAGAAAGTGTCTGATAAATATAGCATATAATATATAGAGAGAGACAATGTGATTACTCTAGTGTAGTACCTTATACATAACAACAGAAAAACCATATTCCCTTATAGTGGTCAATAATCATCTGAAATTAATGAGTGAAAGTCATAAAGTTTTTAGTAATTTTTTGGTGGATTTCCCTTAGGAAGCAGAGATATTAAAGGTCAGGGCCTTTCACTGGTTTATTTGTAGTGTTTTTTTAGAAAGTCTAATGACACTTGAACCTAAGTCTGCTCATGTATCTGGGTTAAAGCCAAAAATAAGATAGTGAATATGTAATGTGTAATATAACATTGATGAAAAGAGATGAAAATTCTTACTACCATTATAAAATTGTATCAGTAAAAATCCAACCTGATTATATAATAAAAAAATCCTAACTGTAAAAATGTTAAAACATTAAGGGACTGAAAGGGAAAAAATGAAAGGATGGCATCATTTTTTAATATACTATTTATTATAGCCATATAGAAAGTAAAATACATTTGTCATGATTTCTAAAATATCTCTAATTTCATTAAAAGAAAAAATAGCAAACACCATATTTTATAATAAATTTATCAACATTGTCTCATTTTTTACATTCCTACAACTAAAATGGTTTGCAAACACTTGTGAGTTCTGGAGAACAGACAAATATTTTAACTATAACAGCCACATACAAGTCTTTGGGGGGGAAACAACTTCAGGAATTAATCTAGACTTTATTTTGAGTAAATTTATATTAGTGTATGTTTTCTAATAGGAAAAACATGGACTCTATAAGATATTTTTGAGAAATCAAGTAAAAGATGGTTTGTATTTCAATCCAAGTACATATCAATTTTATCACTATATTTACAGACTGTATCTTTCCCAGTAGCTGAAATCATTGCAGAATTTAATTGCCTGAGAATTATTTCTATTACATAAATTTTGTGGTTAAACTAATTATTTATATTATATAAACAAATCGCACTAGAGAGTAAATAAACTGGAGAAACCAGCCTCGAATGCCTCCCATCCTACACATTAATAAGTTAGGTTATAGAATTAGGTTAATGCTAACTTCAGGGGAAATGAACATGTCTTTCAGGTGATAATTTAATAGGCAGGAGGTAGGAATTTAAATGGGTTTTAAATTCTTGTGAACATTATTACTTAAGCTGGGGAGTTAGATATATTAGAATATAACATTTTACTGTATCTTGCAGCATCAACAACTCGTCCCATTGTCAAGTTATCCACAAGATGGCAGCTCTGT